GTGGCCTCTCCCGTTGCGGAGCACAGGCTCCGGATGCGCAGGCTCAGCGGCCATGGCTCACGGGCCCAGCCGCTCCGCGGCATGTGGGATCTTTCTGGACCGGGGCACGAACCTGTGTCCCCTGCATCGGCAGGCAGTCCCTCAACCACTGTGCCATCAGGGAAGCCCAAGCTTTAATTTTGAAAGGAAGGAGCTAGGAAGAAGGAAGATGTTAAAGATTCAGGGACAAGATGCTTGACTGAGTGATATTCCTGAGAAATTAAAAACAAATGTGAATCAGAACATGGGAGGTTGGATATAGCTTTCATTATAAAAAGAAGACATACAGATGGCTAAAAAGCACATGAAAAGATGCTCAACATCACTAATTAGTAGAGAAATGCAAGTCAAAACTACAGTGAGGTATCACCTCACACCAGTCAGAATGGCCATCATCAAACAGTCTACAAACAATAAATGCTGGAGAGGGTGTGGAGAAAAGGGAACCCTGTTGGTACAGCTGCCATGGAGAACAGTATAGTGGTTCCTTAAAAAACTAAAAATAGAGCTCCATATGACCCTGCAACTCCACTCCTGGGCATATACACAGAAAAAAACATAATTCAAAAAGATACATGCACCCCAATGTTCATTGCAGCACTATTTACAATAGCCAAGACATGTATACAACCTAAGTGTCCATCAACAGAGGAGTGGATAGAGAAGATATGGTACATATATACAATGGAATGTTACTCAGCCATAAAAAAAGAACAAAGTAATGCCATTTGCAGCAACATGGATGGACCTAGAGATTGTCATACTGAGTGAAGTGAGATAGAGAAAGATAAATATCGTGTGATGTCACTTATATGTGGAATCAAAAAAAAGTGTACAAATGAACTTATTTATAAAACAGGAATAGAGTTACAGATGTTGAAAACAAACTTACGGTTACCAGGGGGTAAGGGGGGTGGAGGGTTTAATTGGGAGATTGGGATGGACATATACACACTACTATATATGTAAAATAGATACCTAACAAGGACCTACTGTATAGCACAGGGAACTCTACTCAATACTCTGTAATGGCCTGTATGGGAAAAGAGTCTAAAAAGAGTGGATAGATGTATATGTATGACTAAATCACTTTGCTGTACACCTAAAACTAACACAACATTGTAAATCAACTATACTCCAATAAAAATTAATTTTAAAAAAAGGAGGGAAAGAGGCACAGATGCGTATAGGTGTACAGACTTTTGTAGGTTGGAAGTGGGAGGTTTTGGGAGCTCATGTTGGAAGCCTTTCATTTTCTCTGTGAAATAGGTTATGATGATGATGGAACAGGTAGGAGGAGGATAGAACCGGTACTGGCTGTTCTTTCCATATTAGCAAGGCACAGGCTAATCCAACAATAATTGGCAGTAAGGCAACAGAATACGGTTGTCCTAATACTAAGAAGGCCAGAATTTATTGTCAAGGTAATGGGGATCCATCCCACTAAGATGTTTACATTTTACATGGCTAAATCATTGGTATTCCTGCCTCACATTAGCAGAGAGTATCTTCTGGTGCAACCAGGACTCTTGGAGAGCGCCGGTCCAAGAGTGTGAAACCCAGGGAGGGAGTTCCCGCCTCATTACCCTCCGTCCTCCATCTGCACGAAGCCTACCTTCCCAGTTGGTCAGCGTTGC